TAGTTTTTGATTATTTTAAATGGGCTCCTCTCTAAATCCAAAGAGCCTTGGGGAGTGATTTAGGGTTTCAGTCTCTCAGGCTTATTTAAAGCGATGACGCTTCCAAGTTCCAGCATTAATTTTGAGGTTATTTAAACTGTATTATCCTGTTACTTCAATCAACTAACAGGCTTTGGGATTCTTATGATTTGACCTTTAATTAAATGCGCCCCTTCTATACATTGATGCCACCATACAACAAACAACCTTACCAGACCTTAGATTAGGATGAAGATGGTTGATCCTTTCAAATTCAACGGTTTCCAAGAGAATCTCACACGCTATTGGCCTAACAAATCCTATTTTTGAAGGGCAATAATTTAATCTGATTTAGGAAACTAAACTAATAAACAATCTAATAAGAATTAAGGGAGATTCTCCCCCTCCCTCTCCAAACTGAACTTGATGTCATGTCCTAACTAATCTATCATGGACAAGTTATCTGATAACCAAACATCTTAATTATTTGTCCAATGAATAGGTGTGATTCCCTTCATTCCTTGTCGAAAATTTTGAAACAAAAAAGAGTACAAATACAATTATGTAGAGTGTAAAACCTTGTATTTTGTATTGTTTTATATCTATTTATACTATATATATATATTTGTATTTGTACTCCTTTCCAAACTGAGACAAAAGGAAAATAACTCTATAGTTCTACTCTGATTTTTATAGAATGTTTCAACCTAAATAGAAAAAGAGCTAAGCCCAAAAAAAAAAAAAAACTGCATCCTTTTGGCCCATGCCTGAAAGAGGAACCTGGGCTGGGCCATTAGGGGGGACCCAGAACTATATGGCTTTATCTGATTGCCATGGAGACATATGCCACCATCATGGATCATTGTAGCATTTTTTCCCCCGACAAAAGGAACATTGTTCCATAACTGGCTTTCTCATTAATGTCTCTGTGCGCTTCTTGCAGGGAAGATGTATATAGACTGGAAATCTAAGTAATTATTTATTCATGTTCTTTTATTTTTTATGTAAATAAGGAAATGGGCATTTTAGTCATAAAAATCCATTATTTAAAGGGGCATTTTTGTCCCATTCAAGTGTTGGCACCCACTTACGAGATGGGTATCACTTAGCCGGGTAAGTGATACACATAAAAATAAACTTTCCTGTTCCCCACATAAATCAGAAAAAAGAACATGAAATTCTTTTGATCAATAGAAACCAAAATCCTATTAACCAACTTTCCCCTATCTCAAAATCCAAAAAAAAAAAAAAAAACCGCCAGTCTAAATGGGCAAAATTCTAAACTCCCTAACCTTTCTTATTGAGTTGAGTTTATATATTTGGGCTGAAGTTCAAATCCAACCCATTTAGCTAAAAGGACTTAAATACTAGGCCCAACTTAAACCACGGGTGAAGATAAGCTCGGCCAAAACTACCTTCTTCATAAGGCCCACGGACTTTAGACTGTATAAATCCTTTCTAGGGATTGAATATGGTAGCATTGGTGCTTAATGAACACGCATTGGGATTGTTTAAACGTCAAAAGAGTCTTGGACAAGAAACCCCGTTGGCCGTTATAGATTACTAGATTAGGACCATTAGGTTACATCCAGGATCCGCCCCACCCGAAGCATACTAGATATGGTGGGTTTGGATCTATGAGTATGAAGGATTAATCAACTCGATAAATCCCTATTCCAGCTACTGAATTGACATTCCGCTTTGTCGAACTCAAAGGGACATTGGTATGCCAAATGTCAAACTGAATTGACATTCCGCTTTGTAGAACTCAAAGGGACATTGGTATGCCAAATCCCTATTCCAAGCAAAACATACATTATTACTAGGTTCAGTTTGGAAGGAATACAAGATTTTATATACTCTAAACTCTGAACAAATTTTGGATCAGGTGGATATCTCACTATGTTTTCATTTCCTTATGATGTGGTCTACAATCCGAGTTGAATGTACAAATGGACCAGATGTGAATCCACCATGGTCCAAAACCCTCATTGATTTCACTTTGTCGTTTACATTTGCAACTTGATTTGGCTGGATTGCTCCAGATTTTCCATGTCTCATGTCCTACTCTCCATTCCTAATTCATGGGACAAATTTCAGCTTCCTCCCCGCAAGAAAGACCTAACCACATCTCAACGTAAAAATGTCAATAAATAGGATGGTTTACAATTTAGGATACATAATTCAGATAACTACAAAAACGAAATAGTAAAATACGAAGCGTTTCTCAGTTCTCACACAGACAATTAGTTATATCTATGTATTATAGTTAATTTGTTTTATTCTTCTTTTTTCTTAAATAAAATCGAGCGTCTAGATTAAAAAAAAAAAAAGTCAACACAATTTGCGATGAAAGTACTCAAACCTGACCAACCCGGCCTGTCCTGTGTTGGTCCAGCTTTAGCTTTTAGCCCTTAAGTTGGGCCAGCCCTTTACCTTGCTTGGGCTGGTATTGGGCTATAAGGGCCACTTTTATGATTGGGCCTACATTGGTTTTATTGGTGTAAAATAGGCCCGGCATGCTAAAGTCATGGTTGGGCACATTTGCACGTCCTATTTACTTGTCCTTAAAAATGGATTTTGGTTGTTGAATGAGATTGGCTAAAGAAATCATACTTACAACACGAGTATATGAGTACATAATTAGGAGGATTAGTCGAGTGAAACGGAAACCGCGTAAAGTAGGATCCAATGGGCTTAATTTGTCATCTTAGTGGGCCCTTAACTTCATAACTTGATTAGTGATTACTGATTAGTGATAAATATTGGGCTGGTTTAACTGTTTTAAAAACCTCTTATTTTTTAGAGAAGAAATAACACCCTTAGGCAAATTCATTGAACTCAACAATACATTACACACCATTTATCAGCAATACAATTCATTCGGAGCACTGGATTCCCAGCTTTGGTTCATATATCACAGAACAGTTTGTCTTGCAAGTATCCATATACGTTGACATTGATAGGGTGCACAGCAAGCAACCATGTTTAAATCTTTGAGATGTGCATTTTCTGTCATGTTGGAAGTTGTATTGGTAGCAAGTCATGATTCATTTTGGTTCGCCGAAAGAGATAAACAAAATATTCTCCAATATTTTTTTTCCTCAGAAACACACATACACACTCAAAATTCTTTCTTTCTAGTTGGGGCTGACTTTCTTACTGTTTTCTCTCCTGCAATTAAACAATGAAATATAAAATCTTTTCACCCTTTCTCATCTCATCTCGTCCCATTGATTCCCAGTCCAGATCTATTAGGCATAGCATTGTAAGCATCATTAATGAGCACTTAACAAATATTCTGACAATTGTATCAAAAGTTGTTTTTAATCTTTTTTTATTAGTAGACTAAGGGTGTTTTAAGGGACAGGTGTCAAAAAATTTTGTAAGTGATCACTCATTATGCTCACTGTGTGACTACTTGATTCAGTCCGATCATTACCCATTCCGTCGACTTTTCCTTGCTAATGAAATGAAGCCGTGGGTCTTTCCCTGTAATTTTGTAATGAACCGATCCCCAAGTTTACTTTGGGCAATTAAGATCCTAGTGGGCCATTATTTAAATGATACTCTTACAGGTGAGTCCAACCTAAGCTTTTGCACAAATTGGGTTTTGTTTTTTAGGCTTTAGGTTGGGTTTGGGCTTAAAAACTTGGGCTTAACTTTAACTTAGGTTGGGCTTGAATCGATGCCTTGACTGAATTTGGCCTAAGCCTTTAAACCTTGGCTTAACCTTAACTTAGGTTGGATTTGGGTTGAGGCCTTAGGTAACCTGAAACGAGCTGGTAGCAGTAAGGTTGGCGGTGGAGTGTGCAACTAATTTCCCAGGTTGTTTGATTATGGTTCTCGGAGATTCCTAAATGCTGGTGCGATTGATGTCCAATATGGTGCTTACTGATCCTTGGAGGTACCAAGACACTGATCGAGGATACTACAAGATGCGCGAGATCTGTGACAACGATTTCGTTCAAGCATGTTCAAACTCCGAAGAGAGGAAAACATATTTGTTCATTATCTTGCACTTTATAGTTACCTAATAAGTTTGGCATCGGTGTTGGGAATATTCTACCATTTTCTCATAAAAACAGTGTTGGGCACATAAAGTTGTAAAAAAACAGTTCTTATTTTTTGTTTGGAACCGGTATTGTCATATAGGCATTTTTTGAGAAAACAGCACCGGTTTTGTTTGGTATGACAACAATATTTTCAACATTGATCTATATTATCCAACATCCAAGATGATGTCACATCATTACACTGCTGACAGTAACACACCATTTGCTCAGAAAACATTGAATTTAGCATTGCTCTAGACCACACTTTCTTGATTTTAAGGTGGTCTCAAACAACATTTTTGTTTGAAAAAAACAATATCAAACAAAAAGACGTTATTTGAAGCACTGCTTTATCTGGTGTGACACCTACATGGCGTCGTTTTCTCAAAAACAGCATCAATGCCAAACACCCACTAAAGTGTTTTAAAAAATAATATATTAAAGAGGTTGGGGTCTCATTAATGGCTGAAGGTTTTATTATCAAACGACTTCTTAATAAAGGCCAGCTTAAACTGAAATGCATGCCTGGCCAAAACGAGGCCCGACTTAGATGGGGCAGGGATATGTTCACAGTCTCACAGTGAGATGTGCGAACACAGTTGATGTTGAGACTGTATTGGGACAGTTTATGTTGTGAACAGATCCCATGACGACTTCACCCTCGAAAAGGCTACGAAGCATGCAGCTAGTATGCTTACCATATGACTGACACCAATATCCTACATCAGAAGAGATGAGTTCATAACATCTAATCCAAATCTTGTGATGAGGATTAATGCTCGGCGCTTTTTTTTTTGTTTTTATTTCACTCAAGGAATTTTAAATATCTTATTTTTTTCGATGAAAATTTTTAAATGTTTATAGCATCCATGAATGCCTCAAGGATTCTTTCTTGTGAGTAATACATCCACACCATTGCATAAACTCTTATGGAGACGAAGCATCCAATTAAAACATATATCGGAATTTCCTAACAGCAAATGAACTGCAAAAATAATTCCAAAAAGGAAAAAAAAAAGCCGAATTAAGAAACAATAGCTAACCAGCCTACCCATCACTAAAGCTGAGCTGAATGACTGAATCCTAAACCTAAACCTAAACTTAAATTCTCTCTACCTGCCCTCTTCCCACCAATAATTTTTGTTTCTTTTCCTTTCTCTCTACCAGCTAAAATGTGGTCAAGCTCTATTCCCTTTCCCCATCTATGTACAAAATTGAAATAAAAGAACCAACTAATAATTAAACAATGAGACCCCGAAAAAGAAAAGAAAAATATATTAAAAAAAAAAAACTTTCACTACTATCATATGTAATCAAGCATATGGATGCTCCTCGTCATTAATTCTGTCGCGTCTGTAATGGGAGTTGCAGCGGCAGACATCTCTGCATTGTGGCTAACCTTAGACCTCATCTCTAGAACCTTCTTGTGAGAATTGGAGTGCAATGAAGAAACAAATGTTGGGCTTGCTGCGGGCCGGTATTCTGGGAAAAGCCGGCCCGACTTATAGCGCACCCCACATGCGTTACACAGAGTCTTAGGGCCCATAGGGCCAGCTCTCCATTGCGGGGTCTTTGTAATCTCACAGTGCATGCATTTTCTAATGGCGATTGGCTGCGAAACAGATTGCTCTGCTGAACCTGCTATAAGCGATAACTTCTTTTTTTTCTTCTTCTGTTCCATTGCCTCATCTGCTCGTATCTTCTTTGTTGGTTTTGTTGGTCGGGATTCTGCATAATTCTCCAATTCAGACGCAGATAACGGTTGGTTGGGTTCCATTATGGAAGAGGTAGGAGAGATGAGTGGAATAACAGGCCGAGGGTTGAAAGTTGCAGGGCGTGGGCGCTTGCTGCGGGCGCGGCCAGGGACCACGGTTTCAGGGCTGAGAGGCATGGTCCTTCCACCGCCAGAACACGAGCTGCTGCTTTCAAGGACAGACACAGGGCTGGAAGTCTGGAACCGGTGGGAATCATTGTTTTTGTGGTCATTGAAAGAGTCTTTGTCCAGGGTGACGCTGCTCCCGGCAGAGAATGAATCCTCGACGAAGTTTGACAGCCATTCCAACTGAGCAATTTCTTCATACTGAGAAAATGGAAAAAGGGAACAAGATACACCGATCAGATGAGAGATGTATAGAATTTGTTACGTAACTTTACATTTTTGGCAAGAAATAGAGATTCAAGAATGATAAACAATTGCAGACTAGCAGCACTTCTCGACTCGAGTCACACACGGTGGACCCACCCACACTAATCTCTTATAATATTGGGCAAAGACATCCAATCTAGAAGTTAATGTTATTGACGAAAATTAAAATATATATATATATATATTCATTTAAAGGATTAATTGAATTCACAATGACCACCATATTGACATCAAGACAAGCATGCTTGCATAGTGCCAAGTCAAGGAGAACTTGTTCTGTTCTAAATCTGCGGGCCAATGCTGCTACATAACAGCACGGGTAACAAACGGACCCATTCCGATTTCTATGGTCCACTTTGATTTCTGACAATCGTTGGATTGGTAGAATTGGACTCATGAGTTAAGGTTGGAACCCAGCATAAACTATGGAGCAAAGTGACGTAGCATTCATGGACTATATTTTAATGGCTGAGATGTTGATTTGACTACGAGGGAAAGTCATTGTTCGTTTGAAAAAAAGTATGATGTCTGTTTTGGTAAAGGTATTGGGGAGACCTCTTGTAGGGGTAGGGAGAAACCCTATTAACTTCTGAAAGAATTTTTTTGAGCCTATATTTAGAGGGTTAAGGGACTTTGAAGTAGTCATCAACTTCTTGAAATCTTCAAGAGTTTTCTTAAAGCCCTCTCATTTGGATTGCGAACATTTCCAATTATTGATATGGAATGGACCGAGTTTGACGCTGGCAAAACTTCCTAGTAAAAGACTGGGAGTGATTGCTGGTTGGTTAAACAATTATACTAGTATCTTGGCTACATCTGAGAATCATGAAGGAAATAAAGGGATGGGAAGAGTAGTTGTTGGGTACATAGAGCAACTAATTTTATTGCTTGTTCTCTATCTAAACAGAACAAGAGTGCATTTTTTCGGTATCACGAACACAGAGTGCAATCATTCTTTGTTTTTTTTTTTTCTCACATTCAATAAAATTCAAATTACCCATAAAAAAAACATAGTCGTGTCGCATTTTAAAATATAGTTTGTGTTATAATGTACTACTCACCGGAACAGAGAGTTCTGTGGCAAGCTCGGAAGAGCTTCTGTCGCTGTAGCCGGAAAAAACCGAGTCTGGAGCCCCAATCATAGTGTCGGGTGGTACGGTAGTCCATGAAGTAATGTAGTTTTCTCCAGCTCCAGCCTCTATGTCTTCCGTGGAAAAGTCCAGCAAATCATCTATCTGGTCGAAAAAATCCCCGCATACATCCAGTAGATCATTCGTTGACCCTATCATCTTCTCTTTCACTGCACCACCAACAACATAAAAGAGAAAAAGGCAATGTCATATAGGGATATCCAAAAATTTCTCGTCTATTACTCCAGAATCCAGAGTTGCAAATCAAAAGAGAGAACTTATGGAGGTTTTTACTCGGACAAAATTAAAAGGACTCCCGGAGGTTCTATTATTAGAGATTAAGATTTTATATTTTTATTCATGAAGCCTTCCTCACACAGAGCGCCTCACTCCAATCTTACATGCACATATCATCATGCGGTGGGAACATATCCCGTGAATAATAACGTATAACTACGGGAGATGTTCCCAATGCATAGTAGGATGTGCGTCAACTTCTCCTTACAGTCCTATCATAATCCAATAATAATGTTCCGTCTGTAGGAGAAAGTGCGAAAATCTAGCGTGCGCCGTGTACGCGGTCTCGACCCAGAGTTCTCAGCCTGACTTGCTTGTCGGTACTCGGTAATAGACGAGACGTTGGAATTCAAATGCTTATTAACTAAAAAAGATTCCACCCACAGCAATTGGTGCCTAAGTTTGTAGAAATAGAACCCTAGCACGTTCCCAATCACGTCCCATTTTATAAAATTTTCTCGAAAAGGCACTGATTCTATGACAATGGCACATGGCGCAACATCTGACCACCACCGGATCGGTAATAACTTTGGGACCCACGATTCACATATTCCAATCCGATGTAGAAAAATCTTTTTAATTTAATGGTAGTAAACAATGAGTTTACGTGAATCATGGATTTCTTCGTCCTAAAAGAGAAGGTAAGATTAGAAAAAGACAAATTCAACTTTGTCTTAAAGTTTTTTTTTAATGGGCCCTACACCTACTATAATATTATGCCCTGCAAATCTACAATATCGTTTTTTTTCTTACACTTTAGCATCATTCATACTTAGAGTTGCCGAAAAGGTGCTCATTGGTTAACCACCCCAACCCCGCCAGCTACATCTACACATCCCCTTATCACTTGGGACTTTGTGAGTTGTTGAAAAATGAAAAACCGTGGTCCGTGGTAGAATCTGCCACCCACAAATTGAGCCTATCAAAGAGATGGGTGCCTAGGCGGGTGGGGTTATGGCAAAAATGGATGGATGATTTCGGCCATCTGATATTCCGATCTCTTCTTTATCACGGAGTTGACTCCACACTCTATTATATGAGTCGAAAGGTTGGAATCATCACCGTCATCAATCATATCATCATCCCACCATTGATTCATTTCTAACTTCAGAACATATCCTAGCCCATATGGAAGAACAGAGGGAATGCAATGCAACCTACAAGTGCGTTACAGCGTTACCCCGATCTCCTGCATATTCACACCGTATGTCCCCATGATTCCTCCATAATCTTCTTTTAACTTACTAAGCAATGATCACGTCCATTCCGTGTGATCCACGATTTCAACGGTCGTGATCAAAGGTTAACTGATAACGTGTACAATGCAGTTGAAGAGGGGAAATTGTAGTCGTATAGGCGTCAAGAGTAATCCACCGTCCACCGACAGCCAGCCCGAAAATGAAGCAGAAGAGGTGGACGAGTCAGCCGAAAAATCAACCGTGTGGGCCCACTTCAACAATCCTATAACTTTGATGATCACGAAGGGTGGACCCATCGCAATGACGAACCGACGCCATCTTCCTTGGCTATTGCAATGCAGTAGGACCATATATATTTGGTCCACTTTCACCCTTTCCCAAACAAATAAATGAGGTAGAGAGATTTACGAAAATCAAGTCTTTTAATTTCATCGTCTTCATGTGCCACTTCACTGACCGCACAAATTCAATAATGCATTCTAGTTAATGAATGCAAATCAAACCGATTTGAACAAATAAATAAACGAATTTGATGCAAAAGTCAATGCTCTGGCTCTGGGAGGAGGTGGTCCAGGTGGAGGAGGGATTATTTCACGTTTTAAAGTGAAATGCGATAAAGAAAATTAAAAAGAGCAAAAGAGTTCAATGAAGCAAACCTTGGAAATCAAAATGGACTATCAGCTTAGATCTCCCGTAGCTCTCTATTTTTCCCTTTGCTTGGATTTGGGCAATAACAATTCTTTCTCCTCGCAATTGTAGGGAAGTGATAAAAGGAACGAAAAATCAGACGTTCGAACTGTAATTTGAAAGCGGAAGCTCAAGATTCGGTACAGTTGCTGTTTTGTCCAAAAATTCTAGTAGCTTGTATGAATGATAGACTCGGGCAAAAAATTCTAACAAACTGAGCGCGTGACAAATCAAATTCTATAATGAAGTCTAAAAGGTCGAGTTTAAGTAGAACTGGTGGCAAGAGCTACAGAAGTCCACCAATTAGCTCAACTCCTGCAAAACAAAGAGAAGAAAAGCAGAACGAGAAAATGAGAAGCAGATCACCATAGAAATATCTGTTACCTCCTTATTTATCAGAACAAAATTCACGCAATCGCTTCAATGCACCAAAAAAAAAATGAAAAAGAAATGCTGTTTAAGGTAAAGAAGATTGTCGGAATTTTGAAAACTGAACAGAATTAGTTGCACAAAACATGATTTGGCGCAGAATTTTCGAAGGAAATGAAGAAACATGTTAGCGGAAGCATGAGCAGACAAACAAACACGAATGACGAACCTATATTAAAATCCTAATTCCCGCCCAAAATTGCAAGAATCCACATAAAGCAAAGCATAAGCCTTATTCTTCCGAGATAACTCCCCAGAATTGCAACAAAGCTTGTTGGAATCAAATGAAAGAGCAACAACGACAATGAAGTGGCTAGCTCCTACTTCTAACTATAATATTGTATGAGTAGAGTGGAAGGAGAGAGAGATAGAGAAAGAGGAGGAGGAGGAGGAGGAGGAGGAATAAGTATGAAAGAGTGGGGGAGGAGAGAAACAAACCCTAAAAAGGGGGGGAAAGAACGTGAGGAGAAGTATGCGGTGACTAATTCTGGTAGGTGAGCCTCCTCCTTCATTGCTAGCTGTCTTTTACGATCCCTTCACTGTCGTGACGTTGAAGTCTTCATTGCACTTTTTCCCCCACTCCCTCCCCTTTTTCTATCTTTCTCCCCTCTCCCTCACACACTGACACACACACACATTCTCTCTCTCTACGTGTATATGTGATGACTGAAAGCAAGAATGGTCCCACACGACCTCACCGCTCGAATTTTCTTTTCTTATTTTCTATAATTTACTGTTTCTTTTTTTGTCTCACAGATTTGAGATTTTCTACTTTTTCCTACTGATTTGAACTTTGAACTTTATTTTAAAGATGATTTGCGGAGCAAACGGAGGAAAGAAAACACCATTCTTCTCTGTCTCGGTATCGGACATTTCTGTTTTCAGTTTCAAACCTTCAATCTCCGTCTTGAGCGGTTTTCGTCTTTAACTGCGGCTGTTTATGAGGTTTTACTTTCTTGCTCAGTTGCTCCCCCTAATTAAGGCGAGAAGTAAACAGACGACAAAGAGAAAAAAAACAAAAAACGAAACAGGAGAAAGAAGACGGTCGATACTAATTATTAGGACTCTGCCCCTGGACCTCTACTGAAACTACCATTTTGCCTTGAATGTAATGTTTCTCCACAGGACAGTATTTGAGGCCCTTAAAACTTGCTACGTATTGGCTACATGGAGGATCTTATCCCCACATATCGCTGGGTCCCACATGTATTAAAGATCATCGGTTTCACCATGATCAACTGATCACTTTCAGCCATTCAGATTCAATTAAACTTTAATACGCTTTTTTTTTCTTTTTCTGACTGTCAGAAATCAGAATAATGTTTTCAGCGTCATAGAAAACAAAAAGAAATAAACAAAAAGAGAATAATTTTCAATGTTGAGAATTGGGCCATTGGGATCATAACTTGGGCAGTTGAGCCTATTTATCTCCTTCATTTACGAGTGTGGGACTTTTCACCAGCGCAACAGGCTAAACCCTCTCTACAACATAGAAAACCTTAGAAGGAAGTACGTCTGATCTGAACCTTATATCTGTAATTTTTTGACTGCTTGGGGGTGTTCCACAACATGGTCGAACTTAATTTCACTTATCCAAATATCCAATTATATAATTATGCAAATAATTCTGCCCATCCTATTAATGTTATATAGTTTAGTAACAATAGTAACATTAATAATATTAATTTCACAAAACCTATAAATACATATTTAAATAGTACAAGAAAATAAACTTAAACAAAGATAAAGAACAAGAAATAGAATATCCACTAGAGAAACAAACAATAATGAACATTACAGAATTGTAGGCATCTTCTCTCACAAAAACCTTAAACCCAAAACATCCAATAAACTCTTGATTTGTCTCTCAAACCAAAAAGATGCATACAAGTAAAAGATCCAAACTACTTAATTATTTGTATTCAGGTTTGACCCATAAGTTGAATATGAATTGGACCCTTACCGCTATGAGGGTGAAAGCCCCACACTCCATACTCCACTGGTGATTAGTAATTGGTCCTATACTTCTACCACAAATTATTATAAAATTTTAATTTTGAATTTTTCTGAACTTAATTTGGAGTGAATCGTAATAATGAATTCAAAACACAAACATAACAACAACAATATATTTAATGCAAGCCTTATGACAAAAAAGGACTTTTAACCATAAATCTAGAAGTTTGGAATTTTATTGTAAATTTAATGCAAGCCTGCAATATATTTATTCCATAGATACACCATATTAAGTTTGTAATAATTTTATCATCCTTATCTTTTAATAATCTCTATAATATGTTTTTGGAAAATAATTAACTATTTATCTATTGTTTTATATTCTTTATTAATTTTTTCCATAAAAATAATATGTATAGAACAACGAACAGTTTAAAAAGGAAACTAAAGAACCATGCCATACCATCAATATGCTTTCAGGCACGTTTAGGGCATGGATTCACATTGAAACGCAATATACGAATCGAAAAGGAAAATATGAAACGCCACCATGCATATACCCATTGTTTTTAAAACCAGACCGGATAGGGAAAACTGTTCTGGGCCCAGTTCCTGGGTAGAATGGTCCGACTGTCCAATCCGAATAAACAGTCAGTTCTGATAAAAAAATAAAAAAAAAAAGATTAAAAACCATTTTTGGGTTGAATAATTCGACGGTTTAATCACCTAGATTAACGATTCACTAATCAAATCAACAATTTTTGGCCAAATAGTAATTTTGGGATAAAACGAAACTGATCAAATGATTGATTTCAGGTTTTTCCGATTCGACCATTCAGTCTGGTCCAGTTTTAAAAACATTGCATATATGATACACCATTTGAATTGAATCTCTATATGCGATGTCCAAGCCAACACCAGCATTCCTTTACCTCCCACTGAAAGCAACCTTAGTTTTTATTTCAAAACCAACTCTTTGGGACGGATAGTAGGGCGGACAAAACCAAGAGTTGATTAAACTTGACGTTTACTATATTTACATGCATGAGAATATTGGATGGTATTGATTAGTGAAAGCTCAAAGCCCGCATGCAGCAGCCAAAACGCCCCCCGCCCTGAGGCTGAGGCTGAGGCTTGCTTGGACGCTAAGGCTCTACGGATCCGTGTATGTGTATGTGTTAAAGTGTAAACCCCGTTGTATGGTGCATTGAGATTGAAAATCTTTCGATGATGTAATGGCCTTCCTACTTAACCTTACATTGACCTAACCATAAAAACACCACTCTGAAGCCAGTTTGTGATCTCCTAACCTTGATGTTTGATGTCAACTTTCTCCTAAATATATATTTAAGACTGTATTTGGTTTGAAGAAAAGTGTAGGGAACCAAAAACAGCCAAATAGTAATTTAAAATTTTAAATGAACAAAGAAGAAAAAGTTTTCCAATTTAATTGCTTTTTAGTAATATTTTCGAATCTTCATTGATCTAGACAGTTGGACTGTTTGGTCTATAAATTATTCAGGCAATTGATTCCATTTTATCCTAAACCCAGTCCCTGGCCAAAAATCACTGAATTGATTAATAACCCATTGATCTGGACAGTTGAATTATCGATCAGTTCAACTTGTTCAATAATTTTTGACTGTTTTTTATTTTAATTTTTTTTGTCAGAATAGACCATCTATTCGAACCAGATGATTAAACCATCAACCCAAAAACCGGTTCCGATTCCGGTTCGTTTTTTAAAACATTGATTTTTAAGATTTTCTGCAAACTTGGAGTTGCTAATAAATTAACAAAAAGGGAAAATGAACCCTCGATCAGCAAGGGATATGGAAGTGAAGTAATAAGTACGAAAAGGACCTGACTATAAAATTTTAGTGTTTGGTGCAGAGCAGAGCACTGCGTGATGGTATCTTGCAGCATTAACCTGGACCTGGAGTATGGAGAGGACAATTGTCTCGGAAAGTGATACAGTACTTTCGTAGTACGAACTCTCAACTCTCAATGTACCTACCGGAGTCGTAGTCGTAGACACTGCCCAAACCCTATTTTTGGATTTACCCCTACCCAACAGAAATAGTGAAATAGGCTACATCGACATGGTAGGAATGTGTACTCTGTAATTTTTCATCTCAACATCAGTGTTTACCGTATGTATTCTGTTTTTTTCTTAAGGGGAAAAGATGATCTTATTTATACAAATGGGTTAGTGGGGACCCGCACTAATTTGGATGGCATGGCATGGCATGGCATGCCTCATATTTTTAAGTTACGTTGACCATTGGATTGGTACCGGGTACGAATCATGCCATTGGAAAAAGGAAAGTGGAGGCACAGCGCACAGAAGATTGGAGGTTGGTTTGGTAAATTTGGCCAGGTCACACCACTCACCACACCAGTGGGGGAGATGTTCGCAATACAAGGTCGGATGTACTGTGGGGGCGTTGATATGAACTCCGGTGCACGAGGTTTTTCCTTAACGATTTTCCTTGCTACAAAAAAAATAATAATAATAATAAGGTGTATGAGAGAGAGAGAGAGAGAGAGAGAGAGAGGAGAGAGAGGGGTAAAAGGTAACCACCGGTTTTCCATTGGGCTTTACCCGTTTCGTCCATTGAATAGAAGCTGAGACTGAGAAGGGGGTGTGGCACTCGTTATTCCAAGTCCAACGAATGGTTAATTAAGAAGCCCTAAAATAGTGCAGTAACATATAGGATAGAATATTAAAAAAAGATAAGTTAGTGGAATTAAGCAAAATAAAAATGATTAAAATTTAAACAAAGTGATGGCACAACGGTAGGTTGCTTTATTTTGGGCTTTATGGAAAATGATGGGCCTCACGTCACGCCCAGGCCCCATCTCCTCTCACACTTCTCCTCCTTTAACCATTTTATAACTTCACCTGCACTCTTTACATCAATCACTTCCAATATTCTCTCATAACTTGGAAATGTTATTTTAATATGTTAAAGGATTGAGCTGCATGCTTTCTTTCACTTTTTAATTAACTTGGGTTATACTCTTTGGTATCTCTTACTTCCGAAATACTCTGGTGATCAATTTGGTAAAATCCAGTTTCATCATAATCCTAATATGGTAAGGATTAAATTTCATGCTCAGCCGGTATTTGTCATAAACAATGAAATGATAGAGGCCATGAGTTCAGCCCCACCGACACTAGTAAATATAATTACCGAATATTGACCATCCTGGATCGCTTAGTTACATATAGTATTTCACCCCTCCCCTCCTAGTAGCATATAACTAAAAGCAAAGCAGCAACTCGCAACAACCACATGGCACGTGAATGTGATCCCACTCACAACCATTATTATGTCAAATGTCATGTGCAATTTTAAATCAATTCCTATGTCTTACTTATAAAATAAAACAGAACAATTACCATTAATTCATATTAATTTATAATATAGGTGGCTATGAATTTATATTAATTAGATGAATATACACCACATATATATAGTTCATAGATCTGACATCTAGTTGGCTGACAGTTTTAAATATGATGACATGCCAACGGGAGAGGGGGTTTGGCATCATCTCTACCAA